TATGGATCGACGGTCCAGATTGTGCTGCAGGACACCAGTATTGTGACCACCGAAGATCACCCCATGCATCTCCATGGCTACCATTTCTACGTGGTGGGCTCTGGTTTCGGCAACTTCAACCCCACCGCTGACCCGCCCCGGTTCAACCTCCTCGACCCACCGCAGAGGAACACCATTGGAACCCCTCCCGGTGGCTGGGTCGCCATCCGCTTCGTCGCTGATAATCCCGGTCAGAAAATTTTCTAAATCCTTTCTTACTGGAAAATACTACTCAGTAGTTCGGTAATTTTGATTATAGTGATAGATTTCAAATGAACTTTTTGGTAGCACGTGATTTTGAATGGTTTGAGATCCTGTTTTAAACTTAGAACAGTGGCTATATTTTCATGTGTGTTTTGAATGAGGATTTGATGATTTAATTTGGTTGGAAAAACAGGGGCTTGGATGCTGCATTGCCACATAGACTCGCACCTTGCTTGGGGACTGGCGACGGTTTTTCTGGTTGAGAATGGTGAAGGGGAGATGCAGTCTGTTCTTCCTCCTCCGCCGGATCTCCCACCTTGTTAATAAATTAATGTATCTTACAGATGGGTTTTCTTCATCAATTTCTTTCGGTTTCTTGTGCATTGTTATGGAATTGAGAAAAACTAAGAGCTTATTTAGATTTTGTAACACCAATATCCTATGTCCGCCCCTCCAATTTATATGTCAAATATTTTATTAGAAATGAAAGATATGAGACTTTATTAGATTTGAGATTGATAATTAAGATATGATGATATATAATTAGATTTGAGATTGACTACATATTAAGAAAATTATTGAGCATAATGCGATGCTGACCTCTAATCCAAAAAATGAGATAAAAAGGAAAATAAAGGACCAAAACGGTCCCATTTTCTAAAAGAACATGCAAGGAGATTGTCATGGGTAAACACTAAATTGAGACGGTTAGGAGTAAACATTAAACTGTAAATTGATAAACGACCGATGGTAAACATTAAACCGTAATTTTAGATAGCTAAAGGTAAACCTAAACTGTCAAGTGTGAGACGGCTAGGAGTAAACACTAAACCTCAAATTGTGAGACGGGAAAGGCAAACGCTAAACCAGCCCTCTGTTCGCTGAAGCTTCAGTGAATCTCCTCTCTTCTTGTCTTCTTCAAACACTCTTGAGAGCTTTCTTGAAGTGAGAGTGAATTGATGGTTCAAAAGTGTATGTGGAAACTTCCTTAAATGTGAGTATTTATACCCCGTTTATTTTTAGGGCAACAAACAAATAAAGTGGGCCCACAGCTCTCACTCCCAGGTGATTCTCTAAATTACTGTGGTAACTTCTAGGGTAAAGTCATATCACTGTCAGATTTGTCGTTTTTTGCTCCTCTTTGATTCCAATGCTGCAACATCGACAATGCTACAATAAAATACCCAAAATTAAGCCATTTTCCCTAACTTTCAACATTATCAACTAAATTTGGAGAAGATAACAAAATCATGCAATCTTTGTACAATATCAGTGTAGGATGTGTGCTAGGGAGGCTTTCCTTAGCTAATTTTCGTGAGATTTTAACCCAAAATAACTCTCTTCTGTAGAATTATCATTACTCTACTAAAAAAAACCTGCTGCACTCTTCTCACTATAGAATATTTTTAAGTCTGCGGATATCGACCATTAATGGTAAGCCAATCCTTCACGAGTGTTTGTAACTGATTTCTCATGTTTACAAGGGTAAAAAGGAACTAGTTAGGTGCTATTTTCTACTGTTTTACACTTAGAAATCGTGTTTTAAGCTTAGTAGTGTCCAAAACCTTTCATTTGGAGTTATCTTAGGTTATACATGCATATAGGACATTTTTACATTGTTTAGAGTTGATTTCTAATCGAAATTACAATTTTGAGCAGAAAGAATCCAAGCTAGGCACTTAGCGCCTTGTCCAATTCCGAGAATGCCCTTAATGTAAAATTTTATGTGTTTTAAAGCTTCCCCAAGTCCCTCCGCGTGTCTTCCATGCATTGATGATAGCCAATTCAACAACAACCCAAATAAAAGATGTTGTAAAGGGATGACTCTCCATGAAAGTTTCAACCTCCTAACCGACTTGAAGCTCTCTATAAATACAACATCTCCTTCTCTTCATTCATCATCCAAAGTGATCATTTTCAACTTTAGACACTTTATTCTCAGCTTATTTACGTTTTCCCTTTAAGTTTTGAGTTATTATTGTTTTAACCTTCGCTTATTTCAAATTCTTCCTTTATTTTCCAGCTTGTTATTCTTCAATTGTAAGTTTGATCTTATTCAATTAAAATTCCAGCATGTACTTTGATATTCACCTCTCTCTCTCTCTCATTACGAAGTTGTATTCACACAAACTTGTGGAATTGATCGAGTACTGCTCCCCAATCTTGAAAGAGAACGGGTTAGGGTCTTTTGGGTTGCAACTCACTCATTTTCAGCTTGTTTTAATTATATTCATCTTTTATCATGTCGTCTACTTCCATCAACGTTCAATTATGTTTTTCCTTTAAAGTCATGAGCTAAATTTATTTCCCCAAGCCCGGGTTGGGGATGATTAGCTAAAGTTCTTAAAATCCAACAAGGCAAAAGGTGTTTTTCTCTTCTTTTATCATTTAAGGTTGTTTTACAAAGTTAAAACTTGATTTGGCCAATTAGTGTTTTAACCAAGCATCAATACTGAAAGGGTTGATACATTTTCACAACTTTGAAGATTTAACTTTAGAGAGAAATACTTTAGACATAAATATTTCGCTCGGGTAGCCTAGACATAGGATCTCGACCTAAGGTTACATTTAGTTTTTATTAAATTAAGTTACATTTTCTAATAGACATATTAAGGATGAACTTATTCCTTCAAAATCACTTAGACATAAGAAGATGGTGAAGCAAAACCGATGAAAAATATTGAGAGGCGCATGGCGCCTAATTGGAAAAAATTGTCGTATTTTTAGCTAATTCGAAGTAACTGGGCTGGGTTTATTGCATTGAGTCTTAAAATACCAAAACCAACATTATCCTTGATATTTGTTACCCCAAATTCAATTGCAAAGTCACCGATCAACATAATATTCATTCAAAAGACTTTATTTGTCCCTGAGGATCAATACTCAGAATACTCATTTTGTTTTACTACTTATGACGGGTATACACTTGCGCTCTATCATTTATTTTCATTCCAAAATCTCAAACAGTAACCACAGCTAGGTCAAATTATCATTTTATCCTGTGTTACATCTTTTATCTTAAGTACCGCTGATCCTTTAATAAACAACCCGGTTATGGTCCGACCAATAACCGAAAGTCTCTCTTGGGCCAATGAGAGGATGAGGCTCCTTGTTCAAGTCTGGAGTCAGCACTAAAGTAAACACTCATCTACTCCCCTAAATTTGGGAAGGAGTGAATTTCATCTTGTGAACTTATGTTCCCAGCTCCCCACTTGGTCTCGTCCCCAAAATGGTAGAAATGTTGAGTCGGCGACTTGGGCCACTCTCACCTATACAGATCAAAGGACGAACCCTCACGAGAAATGGTCCACAACTCACTCAGGATTGAGAATGAGTTGTCTGGTCATCCTATGAAATAACAATCTATTAGTCAACGACGGTACATCTAAATATTAACTATTTCGCGGTCCGGTCTTAGTTAAACTCATTATATACGATACCCCACTCACATGTCTCCACACAAACGACCTGGATCAGGTCGTTTGTAACATTTACAAAGTGAGTTGTATCCGTAGTGTTGTCAGGATATGGTACCCAACCTTATCCATATACTATAGACCCTTTAGGTTATTCCCAAGACATTATCCACTTGTATATCGAGGGTATATCAAATATATACCCAGTATATATACTGTCTCGGTTACATGATAATAACCTTGGATGTGTAGTTTATTGGATTTGGACAATGCAATGTTGTAAATTCAGCAATAATTTGATTGAATAAGAAAACATAACTTTATTGAATATAAATTTGTTTTTACATAATTACAAGATACGAGTTTAGGGCAACACAACCAACACACACTCTCTTATCTCCTTCATGGAAGTCACATAGCACTCCCATGAGGCCCGCTATTGCCTTAGGACCGATCTCGTCCCCCGCGATGTAGGGAACTTCATCACCTGGTGATAGGTGGAAAGGACGGCTCGAACTTCATCTCGTCCCTTGTAGTGTAGGGAACTTCATCACCCGCTATTGCCTTAGAACTAATATCATCCCCTGCAGTGTTCTTTTTTTCTTTAATTCTTTTATTATGAGAAGTGAGATCTAGGTTAGGTTAGGTAATGGCGAGCAGCGGCAAATGGCAGATTTGGTGGTGGGCGGTAGTGAACGACGATGAACAGCAGATCTAGTTGTGGACGACAGTGAATGGTGACAAACAGATCGAGCACGGACAGCAGCGAATGGCGACGAATACCAACAAGTATAAAAAACAAACGACGACGAAATCTAGAGTGAATAGCAGCAAACATCGACGAGCAGTAGTAGATCTGGCATAGAATAGCAACGAACGACGACAAAAACAATAGATTTGACGGCGACAATAACAGATATGGCGATAGACATCAGTGAGCGACGACAACAAATAGGATGGGAATCTGAGATTATGGGAGAGGTGAGGATGGGAAATCGAGAGTGAGCGACGAGATTGAGAGTGAAGGAGATGATGAGAGAAGGGAGACAAAGGGGGAGAGGGAGGAAGACAAAATGGGGCAGGCCACTACGGTTTTTGGCTTATAATATATATATATATATATATATATATATATATATATATATATAATATCTTTTTTTAATTTAATGTTGTGTTCAGTTCAGTTCGGGTTGAACTGACTAAAAATTCACTAAACCCGCGAACCAAACCGAAATTTCGGTTCTGAAAAAAACCAACTCAACCCAATCTGAAAACATTTCTAACCCAAACCATGGTTTGGGTTAAGTTGTTCAGGTTACTCAGGTCACCGGGTGTTTTTGAACACCCCTACCCAGGGTCAATACATTTGCCGAGCTTCCCCTGTTCACCAGGATTCGGTACGTATGGACGTGGTTAATGTCAGCGACTATGACCAGTACATTGTTATAGGGTTGGAGTTACGTGGTGACTTCTTCATTCGAGAAAGTCATAGGGGATCAGGCTCGGCGACCCCTACAGTTAGTTACTCTTGGGCCACCGAGTCGTTCATGGCCTGCCTTGGCCAGGGCCTTTTGCTTGTTTCCAGAGTATCCTCCAGCCGGCCCTCCACAAATAGTAAGAATCGCCTGCAAGCGCTCATCCTTCTTTGGGGACTTAGGCTTCGCATCCTTTCGTCTGATGTAGCGCTTAGTCCTTTGGTTGGACGAGACACTCTACCCTACGAACTCCTTCAAGTAACCCTGCTGGACCAGCGATTCGACTTGGTCTTCTAGGTCGTGGCAATCCTTCGTGTCATAGCCATGGTCAAAGTGGAACTTGCAGTACTTACTTCGATCTTGCTTGCCAGAGTTATGTTTGGTCGCTCGAGCCATTGGAGAACGTTGTCAGCCGACGTTCTATCAATCTTGGCTAATATTTGATGCACCGGGACGTGGGTCGGCGTATATTTCCCAAACTTAATCGGTTTGTCTACCTTAACCTCGAGCCGACCTGTGTTTGACTCCTTACGCAAGGACGAAGCTCGGTCGGATGCCTTGCCTTTGTCCCTACGCAAGGATTCCAGGTGTCTCGCCTAAGACACTCTGATGCTGAGGTCAGTAATCGAAGTAAGAAAATAGGAGTAGACACCTTTATGTTTGAATGAAATGTTTTTCACCCTAAACTCGTAGTTTGTATTTATGTAAAAACAAATTTATATTCAATAAAGTTTTATTCAGTCAATTTGTTGTTGAATTCATAGCAATGCATTGTCTAAATCCAATAAACTAAACATCCATGGTTATTGTCATGTAACCGGGACAATATATAAACTGGGTATATATTTGATATACCCTCGATATACAAGTGGATAATGTCTCGGGAATAACCTAAAGGGTCTATAGTATATGGATAAGACTGGTACCTTATCCTGGCAACACTATGAATACGGTCCACTTTGTAAATGTTACAGACGACCAAATCCAGGACGTTCGTGTGGAGACATGCGAGTGGGGGTATACTATACAATGTGTTTGTATAAGATCGGACCACGAAATAGCCAATTTTTAGATGTAACGCTGTTGACTAATAGATTGCTATTTCATAGGATGACCAGACAACTCATTCTCAATCCTGAGTGAGTTATGGACTCGTCCTTTGATTTGTATGGGTCAGAGTGGCCTGAGTTGCGGACTCAATATTCCTACTATTTTAGGGACGAGACCAAGTGGGGAGCTCGGAACATGAATTCATGAGATGGAATTCACTTTTCTCCGACTCTCGGGGAGTAGATGAGTGTTCTCTTAAATGCTGACTCCAGGACTTGAACAAGGGGCCCCACCCTCTTACTGGCCCTAGAGGGACTTTCTGTTATTGGTTGGACCATAACCGGATTGTTCATTAGAGGAGCGGTGGTATTTAAGGAGTAAGATGTAACTCAGAGGTAAAATGGTAATTTGACCCAACTTGAGTTATGAGCACTCGTGAAGGATTAACTTGCCATTACTGGTCGTATATCCGTAGACACGAAAACATTATGCAGTGAGAAGAGTGCAGCTGCAGGTCTTTAATGGAGTGACCCGTAATTAACGAATATTGATTAATTCGGTTAATGAGTTTGACCGATTAATCTCATATCGTTGGAGCTTCTGATCTGTAGGTTCATTAGGTCCCCTTGCTAGCTCACAACGGTAAAACGAGGATCAAGTTTTTGGACAAATTTGAAATGTTTAAATTTCTCAAGAGAATATATGTATATAGATACATTATAATATATGGTTAATTCTTGTTTGGGATTTTGGAATGACAATAAATGATAGAGCGCAAGTGTACACCCGTCACAAGTAGTAAAACGGAACGAGTATTCTGAGTATCAATCCTCAAGGACAAATGAAGTCTTTTTAATGAAAATGATGTAGTTCGGTGACTTTGTAATTTATTTTAAGTTGGTTTTGATATTTAAAGATTCAATGCAATGAATCCAGCCCAGTTACTTCAAATTAGCTAAAAATACAACCATTTTTTCCAACTAGGCATCAGATGCCTCTCACAAATTTTCTTCGGTTTTACTTTGCGATCTGCTTATGTCTAAGTGATTTTGAAGGTATAAGACCATTCTTAATATGTCTATTAGAAAAAAGATCTTACTTTAATAAAAATCAATTGTAACCTTAGGTCGAGGTCCTATGTCTAGGCTACCCGAGCGAAATCTTTATGTCTAAAGTATTTCTCTCCAAAGTTAAATCATTAAAGTTGTGAAAATGTATCAACCCTTTCAGTATTAATGCTTGGTTAAAACATTAATTGGCCAAAGCAAGTTTTAACTTATGAAAACAACTTTAAGTGATAAAAGAGAAGAAAAACACCTTTTGCGTTGTTGGATTTTAAAAACTTTAGCTAACTATCCATAACTGGGTTTGGGAAAAATAAATTTAGGTCATGATAATAAAGAGAAAACAGAATTGAACGTTGATGGAAGTAGACGACATGATTAAAAGATGAATAGAATTAAAACAAGCTGAAATGGTGGAGTTGTAATCCGAATGACCCTAACCCATTCTCTTTCAAGATTGGGGAGCAATACTCAATCAATTCCACAAGGTTGTGTGATTACAACTTCGAAGATAGAGAGAAAGAGAGAAATAAAGATGCACGAACTTGCTGGAATTTTTAATTGAACAAAATTAAAGCTTATAATTAGAAAGTAACAAGTTGAAAACCAAAAATGAATTTGAATTAAGTAAGGTTTAAAATAACAGCAACTAAAAAATAAGGGAAACAACGAGGTAAGCTGAGAAATAAGTGTTTAAAGCTGAAAGTGATCAGTTAAGGATGATAATTGAAGTGAATGAGTGGCTGAATTTATAGGGACTTCAAGGTGGTTAGGAGGTTGAGAGTTTTGTGGGGAGCCATCCATTTCAAACACCTTTTAGTTGGTTTGTTGCTCAATTGGAAATCTTTAGTGCATGGAAGACACGTGGAAGGGCTTGGGGAAGCTTCAAATCATACTAAAACACGYGTTTTACATTAAGGGTATTCTCGGGATTGGGGAAGGCGCCAGGCGCCTAGCTCTGCATTTTTTTTGCACAAAATTGTAATTTCCGTTAGAAATCAACTCTAAATGATGTAAAAACGTCATATATGCATGTATAACCTAAGATAACTCCAAATGAAAGGTTTTGGACACTATAATAAGCTTAAAATACGGTTTCTGAGTATAAAACATTAGAAAACAACACCAATTTAGCTTCTTTTTACCCTTATAAACAAGGGAAATCAATTCTAAATTGAAACTATATATTATGAGAGAAATTATTTGAATGAGATTCAAATAAAAGATCAATATGAATAAGATTCATATTAAAACTATAGGTTAAAGATAACATGCATAAGATGTACATTAAACTATAGGTTATATGAGAGAATTGTTTTAGAATATGGTTCTATTTTGGGATTAAATAATTAAATGTTAATTATTTATTTAATTAATATATAATTAATTAATTAGATGAATAATTATATATATATATATATATATATTATTAATTATTAATATTAATATTTATCACTCCCTTGCTTAATTGTAGGGAAATGG